AGAGAGAGAGAGAGAGAGAGAGAGAGAGAGAGAGAGAGAGAGAGAGACTTCCAAGCAGACTCTGCACTGTCAGCATAGAACCCGACAGGGGGCTCAATCCCACGACCATGAGATCATGACCTAAGCGGAAATCAAGAGTCAGACGCTTAACTGACTGAGCTACCCAGGCGCCCCTTCAGGTAGTCATTTAGCTTGATTGGTTTTTGTTGCAGTGATGGAGGACAGTTTTGAGGGCCTTCTATCCTTGTGACCACACGAGTCACCAACCTGCAGCTCAGTCATTTTGTACTTAGAGTTCCCAGGCTTATGAAAACTAATGAACGCTTTTTAATGTTAAGAATAATTGGCTTAGAAACCACTGTGACAGGTCAGGGCATCTCAGACCTTCCTGTGTGGTTATATTAAAAACTCAGCCAGAATCTCTGATGAGAGGTCTGGGAGTCTTTGTTTCTAGAAAGCTCTCCGAGCAGTGGTGATGATATACCTCAGGCGGGACCATGCCCATCACTCTCAGAGAACAGTTATCCATGAAGAACATATCACTTGGATTTTTCATGATCATAGATAGTAAGGGACCCTTGGATCTCATTCAGTTGGAAAGCAGTTCTCAGACCAGATGGTAAGAGGTTAAATTATTCCCTGTTCTTTGGCTTAACACACGTAGATTCTGCATTCTGTCCGATCTCTTGGGTTCAAGAGATTGAGGGGTATGTTCGCAGGCTAAGAAATGGGGAGCAAGCACTGTTTCAGAGAGCTAGATCTGTTTCAGAGAAACTAGACTCTGGGTAACATTGGCATACTACCTTAGAACTTCATGTGTGTTATTCCAGAAACACGCAAGAATTTACCTTTCACGTTACGATGAGTGTATTCCGTGAAATGCCATTTATGTTTCGACCGCTTCCGGGTTGAATCGAATTAAAGTTTATGACTCTGCGGGCAAGTTAAAAATGTTTTATTTATTTATTTTTTGGATCTCAGTTTTGTTCCAGTAGAGCCTTTTTGGCTCCCTTTGAATTTCATTAGAAAAACCTTGGTCTAATAAGTTTCATTAAAGTGAATACTTCTTGTGTTAATATATTGCATATATATGTCTAGAGGCCTTTAAGTAAGCAATGTGTACACATTCATTAAAATGAGCTAAGGAGCTAATAAAAATTACTAGTAAACTATTAATGCTAACTCACTTAAAAACAATAATGAGATTTTTAGCATACTTGTACAAATGACACAAATATTTGTATTTATGTGTTCATTGTGGATATTTATGTACTGGTCACATAGACAGATTTTTAATATCTTGATTTTTTTAAAAACTCTTAACCAATAGAGAATATTTATAGATCCTGTCATTTTATATCTAAGAGAATCAAGGAGTGGTAGAAAGATGTTGACAATGTTGTTACATGTAAAAAACATAATACAATAACTACATAAACTCTGATTTCACTGTTTTTTATTTATTTATTTTTATTTTTTTAACGTTTATTTATTTTTCAGACAGAGAGAGATCATGAATGGGGGAGGGTCAGAGAGAGAGGGAGACACAGAATCTGAAACAGGCTCCAGGTTCTGAGCTGTCAGCACAGAGCCCGACGTGGGGCTCGAACTCACAGACCACGAGATCATGACCTGAGCTGAAGTCAGATGCTTAACCAACTGAGCCACCCAGGCACCCCTATTATTTTTAAAAAAAATTTTTTTAATGTTTACTTTTGAGAGAGAGAGAGAGTATGAACAGGGGAGGGGCAGAGAGAGAGGGAGACACAGAATCTAAAGTAGGCTCCAGGCTCTAAGCTGTCAGTGCAGGGCCCTATACAGGGCTCGAACTCGTGAACCATGATGAGATCATGACCTGAGCCAAAGTCTGATGCTCAACCGACTGAGCCACCCAGGCGCAACCCCCCCTTTTTAAAAAAATTTTTAATATTTATTTATTTTTGAGAGAGAGAGAGAGAGAGAGAGAGAGAGAGAGAGAGAGAGAAAGGGGAAGAAAGGGAGGGAGACACAGAATCTAAAACAGGCTCCAGGTTCTGAGCTGTCGGCACAGAGCCCAATGCGGGGCTCGAACTCACAGACCATGAGATCATGACCTGAGCTGAAGTCAGATGCTTAACCAACTGAGCCACCCAGGTGCTCCTGATTTCACTAGTTTTTGAAAAAGAGAGACACACACACACGAGAAGTGTGTGTGTCTGTGTGTGTGTAGAAAGAACCAGCAAGTTATCTGGAAGAATATAATGTACCAAGGTATCTCAGAGGTGGGGTTGTGGGTATTTTTGCTTTCTCCCTTTTGCTTTTTTAATTTTTTTTACAAAGAACATGTGTAACTTTTGTAATCAGAAAAAAAGTTGCTTATTAAAAGGTTGCATTAATGGAAGATTCGTACAAACTTTTTCTCAACTACGGTTTTCTGACATTAGCACACACACACAGAGGAAAGGAACTTGTAGTCCTTTTGTTGTAGGACTGCTTTATTTTCCTAAAAAAAAAATCCCTTTCGCATTCCCCTTATTAATAACCCTTGAAAATGGGAGACGTTACCATGTCAGTAATTTAAATACAGATCCCTGCATCAAAATCACCTGGGCATGCTTAGTCAACAGGCAGAACCCTGGGCCCCAACTCACATAAATCAAGGTGTTTGGTAGTGGGTCCCAGAAGCCTCCGATTTTATCGGGCATCACAAGTGATTCTGTTGCACAATGAAACTCGAGACGCACCCTTCTGATTGTAGGTTTCCTCGTGTATATTTATCTTCTATTTGAAATATCTTCTAGATTGTCTTTTTTTTTTTTTTTCAACGTTTATTTATTTTGGGACAGAGAGAGACAGAGCATGAACGGGGGAGGGGCAGAGAGAGAGGGAGACACAGAATCGGAAACAGGCTCCAGGCTCTGAGCCATCAGCCCAGAGCCCGACACGGGGCTCGAACTCCCGGACCGCGAGATCGTGACCTGGCTGAAGTCGGACGCTTAACCGACTGCGCCACCCAGGCGCCCCTGCATTATGTTTTTGATAAACGTTTGCTGCGTGACATCCCTTTTATTGCCGGGAACGCTAGAAGGTTTAATATTCTAAGACGTACCGATGAGAGGGAGTCCTCATTCAGCAAGGGCTTTTGTAGTGTTCATAGTGAATCAGAGACCCTCGTCCCCCCAGGGAGCTCCTGTTAGGGTGGGGAGGCTTGACTGTGAGGGAGCGGGTCCGGGAAGGGAGACAAGCGTCCGATCCGAGAACTCCGTGATCCTCAAAGCTTCTCTCCAAAGGCTACACCAAACTTGACTTTCCTAAATAATAACCCTCTTTTTTTTTTTTTTTTCATTCCTCTCTCAGCCGGAAAAAATTGGTTATCTTAAGAAATCAGTAAATCAGCATCTTGTGCTCCGAGTGGTGCATTCTTTGGAAAAAGTCACTGTGTCAGGAATTCACACAATTAGTGTGTTTATTTTGACTGCATGCCACGTGCGGAAGGTGCAGGGCAGCTATCCTTGGTTGAAATAATTGGTTGAAATAATTTATAGCAAGATGGTGCTAAGTATAAAACTCAGAGACATACCTTCTTGCTGAAATGGGCTCGGAAACTGCCTTTCGCATGTCGCAGGCATGGAATCACCTGGAGGGCTTGTTAGAACAGATTTCCGGGCTCACTGCCAGATTGCTAATTCAGTAAGTACGGGCCAGGGCCTGTGACTCTGCATTTCTGGCAAGTGCCCGGCCAACTGCGGAGGCTGCTTCGGGAACCAGCGGCCTAAAAGGAACATCTCGGTGGCCAGGACGACAGTCACCCGTACAATGTGTTTGATCTGTAACTCAGACCTTACTATGCTTCCTTGAGCTGTGAGGTGATGATGCTGCATATAGAGGGCTGTCCTTCGTCTAACTGAGTGGCCGGCTCCACGTTTCTGTCTCTTTGACATTTAGCTCCACTTTGATGACACTAAACTGCTTAGCGCTGTTGTTTTCTGTTTAGACTCCGGGCCGAACACAGTACTAGTGATGTTTCTCGTTCAGGTTTGACATGAATCGAGGCAAGACTGGTGCAGTGTGGTGTCGTGCAGACCAGCATGTGGCCCCTCTGCAAGCCAGGCTGTCGTCACCATTCCCAAAGCAGGTCCGTGCTCCGCCAGACAGACAGATTAAGCCCCACCCCACTTCCACACGTTTACCTGGGCGTCTGTGTGCCCCAAACTCAGCCCCCGCCCACTCCCAGGTGGACTACATCTAAGTTTCCCTTAAGGTCATTTGCATTTAATACCAACTCTTAAAGCCTTCACAGACTCAGGCCAAAGGGTGATGTGTTCGAAGAAGAATCTGTCCGGCCCTAGGCCCCACACTCATAAGGTTGGTCTGGGGATCCTACACTTAGTATGGAACTGTCTCTGTGATCTTTGTCAACTCTCCATCTAAGCAAGCATCAGGACTTTGTGGAATATACGTCTCGAGCTTCTGACTGTTGTCTGGCATATCCTGGAGTCTTGGTTTAGGGTCTGGAGTAAACTGTTTGCCTAGTCCCCAACCTTCAGAGGCTTGCACATAGAGGGCTTCGGCCAGAAGAAATCCACCTCACTTCCTCTAAGGGAGAACCGTTCAAGATTGTACTTTCCAATTGGCGCCTCGATTTCTCAGGGGTCTGGAGAGGGCTGAGACTTGACCTAGAGAGGAAAGTACCTTTAGAGTTCGGGGGAACAGGGGCACCCGGGTGGTGGCTCAGTCAGTTAAGCATCTGACTTCGGCTCAGGTCACGGTCTCCTGGGTCTTGGGTTTGAGCCCCGCATGGGGCTCTGTGCTGACAGTTGGGGGGCCTACCTGGGGTTCTTTCTCTCTGCCATGCCCCCGCTTGTGCTCTCTGTCTCTCAAAATAAATAAGTGAAATGAAAAATGGTTGGAATAGACTCCCTCCTCTTTCCTCCTGCCTATGCTTATGCTCTATCTTTTAGTCCTGAAGTATAGCCCTCAGGTGGCATCCGTGAAATACTGTAGGGCTGGGGCTTAGGGATGCAGTCTTGTGGGAAGGTGGTCTAGGAACTCAGAGCTGTACTTTTCACATCACACACACACACTCCGCCACTCTTCCTGCTCCTTGTCAGTAACCACGCTGGCGTTCAGGGTGTTCCAAGCTCATTTCTACCCCAGGGTGCAGGCTTGTTTTCCCCTCCTGGACCTGGGTTCTTTTCTTCTAAATCTATGCAGAAGTCACCCTGCGAGAGGCCTTCTGTGCTGTGGTCCACCCCACCCCACCCTTTCCCTTCTCCTCCTTGGGCTACTTTTTTTCCTCCTGTTTTGTTTGTTTGTTTAATCGCTACCCGAAATTTTATTGTTTACACGTTTCTTGATTTACTTGTCTCTTCCCTCCGCTAAGACACGTGAAGATAGGGATTTTTTCTTACTCACTGCTGCCTCTCCAGCACGTAGATCATCGCCTGACAAATTGTAATTATACAGTAAATATTTGTTGCATGAATAAGTGTTAAGTGTGGCAAGCACATTGCTGTAGCTTGGAGTAGTAGTGATGTGTTATTAAGGTGGCTTTGGAGCCCGACGGGGACTATGACTGGGCTAAACACTTTCGACCCCTAAAAGCACCCTACGTATTGCCAGTGGAACGTGGCTGTTCCCAAGCAGCTCTGGAACAGCAGGACAAGGCCCGAGCATAGTTGAAGAGTGTCTCATTTGGCAGTTTTGAAGGGAATTTGACTACCTGAGCCCTGATGGAGTCCCCTCAAGGTCTGGCTTTATGTGCAAACCAAACTTGAGACACTTGAGACCAAGCTTGGTCTTGGGTGGGCAAGCCCCTTGCATCATGCAATTGAGCTGTCAGCCAAAAACATCGTGCATCCGTCATTTAGCTTTATGAGAACTCACTGCAGCGCCAGTCAGCAAGGCCCTGCCCCTTTTCATTTGTCTTTGTCCTCTCTGATGCTGCTGCTGGTGTGAGGGCAGCGGTGAGGTACAGGTGCGGGAAGATGGTGTCCCAAGCCAGCCCTGCAGCCCTTCAGAAGGGAAGATCCTCAACTCTCCTGAGCACCCAGGATGGTGTTAATCAGTATTTTTTTGGGTATCAGCATTGTCAACATTTACATTCACTTTACACATTGGATTTGCATCTGAAAAGACCAACTATAATCAACATTTAAGGGATAACGCTCATATTTGCATATGATTGAGCAGACATGTTAAGTAATTTTAGCCTGGCCGTTGCTAGGAGACCAATTAATAATGCTCTACATTTCATTAAAAACTGGGTTCTATCTTGGCTTTCATTTAACTTCACAATTTGGCGGCTTGTGCGGCATTTTTTTTTTCTTTCTCAGTAAATTGTGACAGATAAATTATCGTTTTACCAAATTTATTTCTGTGATTACAGTTGTTAGTCATATCTGTCAATACAACTTCAAAGATTTTTTTTTTTTTAGACGCTGGGTGGGGGGAACTGAATGTTAACTGTTAATCATCTTTTCCTTTATAAGACGATAGGGACTTAAATCATATTTTCCTGAAGGCCTCACAAATTGTGGGTTAACAACAACAAAAAAAAATTAGAGCAATCGTCCCTGTTCTCTAATTGCACCTTCGCGGTATGGTGACTAATAATTAGAATATTAGTCACTATTCAGAAAGTGGCAGACAGCTGATTAAGCATTCAGCTGCATTTTGTTTCTTTCAGTTTCTCCTTGGTTTGTGGGCTACACCAGGTTCTGTCCTTGATGCAGGGAAATTAAAATTTTCATGACTTTATTTTACATAATAGACTCCCGCTCTTAGGAAGAGAAAATACATTCTTAGCTACTGTAAGTGCCTCTTTGAACCAATCAGCTGGGCAGGTGTATTTAAATTGTAATGACGTTTTGCTGTTTAGCATTTTGTAGTATTGATCTGTTCAGAATGCTCCTTGAAAAGCAAAATTAGTTCCTATTCACATCTGTTTCACAGTATTTGAATCGCTTTATTTGGGTGATGCATACAGATGCATCTGGCTCTCCAACTTAGCTGAAATGGTGATCTTGCCCGTTTTCTAAGGGCTAAACGAAGCAAATGAGAATCTGCTTCCCGATTTACTACTCCACTTTGGTCTTTTGGCTCTGAAGGTCTAGTGCAAACCAGGATGTGGAGTTTGGAAGCAGATAGCCCTGGAGTCAGAATATGGCTCGGCGGCCTCTGTGACTCTGCCTCAGTGTCCTCGTTTGTCAAATAAAGAAGGAGGTACAGCAGCAGCAGGGACCTTGCACCTTGGATTGCAAAGGGTGGGGCGGGCAGTGGGTACTTGGCAAACATTCCTTTCCTTTCTGTCAAGAACTCTGCTGGAGCACTGGGCTGGGTACTCTGGCCGCCATAACAAAGTGCCACAGACTGGGTGGCTTCAACAGCAGTCAGTTATTTCCTCACGGTCCTGCAGGCCGGAGGTACCAGATCGAGGTGTCTCAGGGCTGGTTTCCTCGGAGGCCTCTCGCCTGGGCCTGCAGCGGGCCGCCTCCCTTCTGGGTCTTCACGCGCTCT